GACGGGCTAGGAGGCGCGACAGGGGCCCAGGAGGGGCGCGACGGGCTAGGAAGCGCTACAGGGGCCCAGGAGGGGCGCGACGGGCTAGGAGGCACACGGGGCCCAGGAGAGGTGCGACGGGGCCTAGGAGGCACAAGGGGCCCAGGAGGGGCACGACGGGCTAGGAGGCGCGGCAGGGGCCCAGGAGGGGCGCGACGGGCTAGGGGGCACGACAGGGGCCCAAGAGGGGCGCGACAGGTTAGGAGGCGCGACGGGGGCCAAGGAGGGGCGTGACAGGGCCTAGGAGGCGCGGCAGGGGCCCAGGAGGGGCGTGACGGGCTAGGAGGCGCGATAGGGGCCCAGGAGGGGCGCGAGAGGGCCTAGGAGGCGCGGCAGGGGCCCAGGAGGGGCGCAACGGGCCTAGGTAGGGGCGGCGCGACGGGGCCTAGGTGAACGCGCGACGGGCCTAGGAGGCATGGGCGGAAGCGGTAGGTGGGGGGGGGGGTCGAACCAGGGCTGACGTTTCAAAAAAACCCACTCTGATTTTAGCCCCAAAATTTTTTCCCAAGTCTGAGTAGTCAGGTTTCAGATTTCATGGTAGTCTGATTTCTCAGGATCCAGTGACTCTCAAGTCTGATTTCTTCAGGGTTCGCAAGTATGAATCAGAGTCGTGATTTTACCATTTAGTCGCCATTATTTTATAACATTCGGGCAGTTAACCTACACCTAGTCTAATTTCCTAGCCTAGCTAGAACTCTGGCACATCCACAGCGACAACATCCTCCGCCTCATCATCCGACAGAAAGGGGTTGTCTTCTATAGCTACTGCACCTCCACCATCCCTCTCCCCCTCCTCCTCCTCCTCATTCCAATCCTCTCCTAAATAGTCTGGCACTGGAGGTTCCTGCTCTGCCTCTTCCAGCAGAGCCTTGCCTTTGCGCTTCCTCTCTTGTGATGCGAACACCACCGACTTCGCTGGTCTTCTCTTCTTTGCGTGCCACAGCTCCAGCGCCTCCTGCCAGTTGATGTCGTATCTCAGCAGCGAAATCATCATCAGCTCACCCAGGCGAGCATTGCACAGAGCACCACGGACCCAAGACTTGATCCTGGAAAAACCACACTCGCACTCCACAGTTGAGAGTGGTAACACCGCGCATGCTTGCCAGAGAAGCATGAGGTTGGGCCAGCGCCTGTTTATGGAACAACCACACACAAGAGGCGTGGAACAATAGAATCAATTATAAACTACAAGCATGGTGGGAAAGGAACAATAGAATTTGATACAAACATAGACAGTTAGCGTGGTCAAACTGGCAAAAACAATTATACACAGGCAGACACAGCAGCGTGCTTTGGAGGCTCAACTTACCTGATTGACTCCGTGTTGCCAAGGTAGTTTGTGAGGCCCTGGTAGAAGCCCTCCTCGTTGTGGTGGTTCTGCATGATCGGGGCCCAAGTTGCCAACTCCTTTTCCGCCTCCTTCAAATCGAACCCGGGGAGCTTGTCGTCGAAGATAGCACTGCAGCCATGGAGATACTCTCTCCATGGAGGTAGTTGCTCTGGTAGACGTGCCCCTTGATCTGCCGCTCGTGCATCTGGTACGTGTGCGTCACCGGCTGCCCGTCCTTGTCGACGCCGCGCACCTTCACTCTCTTCGCCCCCCCTCGCCCGTACACGGTTAAGAAAGCCGAGAGCCACGTGCCGCTTACGCCCGCACCGAAAACCCCGCCGCACTCCAAGTAGCGGTGCCGAAGATCCCCCACCGCCTCGTCGACGTCCTGTGTTATCTCGGTAACATCCACCTGCGGTCGGGCGGGGAGGGGGGGGGGGGGGTGGTGGAAACATGAGAATGTTAGTGCTCATTGTGAAAGAACATACCACAAGCTCACATGCAAGGGCTCACCTCTCGTTTCTGAAACTTGAGGTTGAGCTCGTTCATGATGGCGAGGACGTCCGCCAGGAAGAAGAGACAAAACTGAAACTTGTATGAGATGACAACCTCGTACAGCTCATGGTTATACTCGTACAGTAAAATGATGGCCGCACCAAGGACCTTACAGAGGCGTCTGACTGCCTCGCCCCTGGACAGCCACCGAATCGCGTGGATTCCTTGAACTTCAAGGTTGGTCTTGTGGATGACACGCTGCAGGTACTTGAACCGCTGGCTCCACACGCTTGAACGACCGAGGAGATCGGCCAGAGATCGGATAACCTTGTCGACCATGTCCAAGTCTGGACAGGCAGATGCGGCATCCTTCACAGCCAGAGCTTCCCTGCGCACAGTCCATGTAAAAAGATTAGTAAACGAATAAAAGAAAAAAGCGACAACATAACATAACGAGTTTATACCGGTGGGCGATGCAGTGGGACGACACAAGGTGAGGGATGTGCTCGCGGAGCCGCGCCACGAAACCGTTCTCGCGCCCAACCATGACGGAAGCGCCATCGGTGCTGATTCCCGCGATGCGGTTGAGTTCGATGCCGGCGCCTTGAAGATGAGTGAGAAGCACGGAGAGCAGGGATGCGGCGTCGCACTTCTCGACGGTGAGCAACGAGAAAAACTCGGTGACGACGCGGCGATGGCGCAGGAACGTGAGGTACACTATCAGGTGCTTCCCTCTGGTACGATCAGTGCTCTCGTCGCAACTGATGCCGAGGAACGGGAACGATTGAATGTGCTGCATCTGGGTCCGTTGAAGAAGAGTCGCCAAGCAGTGGACCATCTGTTGAAAGCCGTACCTGCACGCAGAAGAGAGAGTAATTGTTAAAATAATCCAACGGAGAAGACTAATGGAATGTACTCGCCGGTACTTACCGAGTGAGGTAAACACCGTAAGACTGGAGCGGTAGGTCCGGGGTGTCCTGCTCAGCCATAAAGCGACATAGCCGAGGAAACATGCTGATGGGAGCATCGACCTTACAGAGAAACTCAACAGCGCGGAGCAGTCGCACGACCCGCCTCCCCTCGACATCCGACGACAAATAGTCGTCCATCGTCTTCTGCCCATCGGCGATGTCGTCGGCAATCTTCAGCTGGGCATCCACAGCTTCCTTGTGTGCAGATGAGTGTTCGTGTATGCGCATGGTCTGTGTCTGCAGGTCTCGGCCACCATCGCCCGAAGAGCTGTACTTGGTGGTCTCCTTGCCAAACGTCATGCACACACTGCACTTGAGAGAAGGGTGGCCGTCTTTTGTTTTGGTCAGCACTAGCCATGGAAAGAAAGGCAGCCATGAAGTTTTGTACTTTGCTTCAGCGACGAGGTATTTCTGCTCTATCAATTCCTTCTTACTCAGCTTTGGCGGTGGCGGTTCAACGACAGCAGGGACTGCACTAGGTGATGGCGGCGTGGACGGGCGGCGGAGCCTACCTCCGATCATGATTTGAGACTGGGTGTACTTGCCCGTCCGTTGTTTCTTCGCAGACGAAATCGTGGACGCGCAGGGCACGCTGTAGCGGACTGTGGTGGCGGTGACGCAGTTAACGGGCAGAGTCGGGCCTCTGCTGGATGAGGCGACGGCAGGCGGAGGGACATATGGTGGTGGCACGAAGGGCGCGGACGGGGGTGGGTTTAGAGCAGGCTGGGTTTCCTCCGCTACGGAGGAAACCACAACAGCAACGACGGGAGGAGAACCTAACGACCGCAGTATGTCTATCGCAGAGCGACGAACCTCTGCAGGCTCGTTACTATGAGGTGGTTCATCGGCGCTGGGCTCATCGTCTTCTTCTGCAGGAGTCCCCGTCATGGCTGTTGACGCGGTCGACAAACGAGAACCTACGTGAGGACGACAACAACGAAACACGAATTGAGGAGTAAGATTTACAAACCCCGTGTAAAAGCCTGAGTGCGCCTGATGGGAGGGGGAGGGATGAGAGGGACGAAGAAGAAGGGCACCATCAAGCCCGAGGCGCGTGTTTCTTGGTTAACCGTCGTCGTCAGCTTTTGGATGGCAGCCCCTTCCAAACCCGCGCCGCCATGCCAAACATGAGCTGACGTTACGAACGAACCATGTGTTGGCATGGACTGTCGCCAATCACGGTCGGTCGGAAAGTTTTGCACATGCCAGCGAGGGCAAGAATCCCGCGTTACCAGCCTTTGATGGCTTCCAACACACCCACGTAGAGGTCGCACGCGTGGCAGGAAGCATGACGCGCTGAGCGGCAAAGTCCCTGTTGAGGCAGCATCACAGTCACAGAAGCGGCGGGAATCCTGCCAAGTGCAGATACTTCACGTGAGACGTGCGGGGGTGAAATGATGGAAGGCAACATATGACGTAGTAGAGGAAATCTCGTGGAAAGTACAAGGTGCATGGATGTCGCATTCAGAGTCCATACGCGATGTACTCTGAAACCTCAGTATCCGCACAACGACTACTCTGAAAAGTTCAGGATCCAAAATCTTACAAGTCTGAAGGGTTCAGTATCCAGAAAAGCCTAAGTCTGAAAAATCAGGATTGGCAAAAAAATGGGTCTGAAATTTCAGACAATCAGACTAAAATAGTCTGATAAAATCAGCCCTGGGTCGAACCTACGGGTGATACCATGTCGAGAAGAAAAGTGAACAAGGGTATATACCTAAGAGAGAGAGAAAAGTGTTGAATAGAGAGAGAGAACAAGGGTATATACCTAAGAGTGTTGTACCCTCTAAGAGGTGACCCTATACAGTCTATACAAATATGAGTTATACATATATTTGACAGTGCACCCATAACCCCCCAGGCTCTACACCAGTGGCCCTTCTCCGAGGATCTTTTTAAGGGTAACCCAGCGGGTCACTCGACATCTTCCATTATAATAGTTTAATCAAATATTAGCTATAAGGCCCAAAGCACGAGATAAGGCCCATGGGACTTATCCTACGGAGGGGCGTCTATCTGGGTGATTACGGTACCGTAGGTACAGTATGCTACTCTTATGACGGCTAAGCCTCGCTCGACTCACAGCCAGCCCATTCACACTCTCGGCAGGAGCTGCTGCTATGTATGTACGCAAGCCACGCGCAATGATAAAAATAGCAATTACAACGTTCATATTTGGTTGTATAGCAACAAAATAATGAATATTAAGTGTTATGAAGCTACAAGGCTAATAATGTCCACAAAACCCTCACCCAACCCCGTCTACTTGTTCCGCATGAAACTGCCAGCAACAGTGCCGTTACCCGCGGTAGTGTTAACGAACATCATCACATAAAGGGGCTGCATCTTCCAGACCTTTCCCCAGGCGTTCCCCTTGGGAGCACCGGCAGGGCGAGCCTGCGGCAGAGCGGTCTCATTGACAGTGTTGCTCAGGGTGTACACCTGGGGCGGGTTCCTGTTCTTCCTGGACGGCTTCTGGGGCACGTTCACCCACGTTCCGTTCAAGTCGGTCACCAGCTTCTGCTCGACTAGCGGGTCGCACGGATCCGTGCTGTAAATCCCCTGTACGGTGGGCGGCTCGGCGGTTCCGGACACGAGGAGGCCGTAGGTCATGGAGTTGGTCGTGTTGTCTTCGGTCGACATGACGTTCGCGACGATGGAGCCGCGCACGAAGGGGAGGGGCTTGCACGGGTGCACGGTTCCCATGTAGCGAGCTGCGGTGGAAAGAAAAAGAACAGAAAAGTATTGAGGAACAGAAATTTTGAGAAGGGGACCTAATATTGAGCCACATTCGGTGTTGAAGCTAAAGACGAATGCGAGGACGGAAGTTCAAAATTAATATCAAGGCGTGGGATCTCAACGCCTGCGTGTCTCCGGCAAAAATCACTCACCGAGCACAACGGGCTTGAAGGGCTTCTTAGGAACAGGCTTGGGACCGGGACCTCCTCCGTTCTTGTCCTTGCCCTTGTCAGAGCCACCAGTGGTCCCAGTGCTGCCGGTGCTGCCGGTGCTGCCAGTGCTGCCAGTGCTGCCGGTGCTGCTGGTGCCGCCAGTGCTGCCAGTGTTGCCCTTATCGGGTCCTTTGCCGGGGGGTGGGCCTGCCTCAGCTCCTGTCGAGTTCAAAAGGAAGGGGAGAGAATCGCGGGGTCAGCGATCGAACTGGATAATAAAAACAAGCGCGTAGGTTTTGTGAGAAATGTGATTGCAATTTCCGGAATTGGTAGCGCTGCCAGCGTTTGCGGCGACAAGAAAGTGTCAGCTAGAAGGAATGCTACTAGGGAAATGCGTACTTAGGAGCAGGAGGGCGAAGCATGCGAGGACGATGGTTAGCCTGGCCATGGCGGTCGATGCTAGGAGCGAAACCCTCAGTTCTCGAAGTGAGCGGGGCACTGATTGTGTGTGCTTTAGATCGGACTTGTTTGTGGGGTGTGAATACAAGGGATAGACAATGGTGTTTTATCCGTGGATGGTTGATGGGAGGGGGGCAAACTCTTATTGGTTGGGGGAAGGAGGTCGCGTTTGGTTGGCTCGCCTAGGCTTCCACATGACCTGCAACTGCCGAGGTGCAGCTTTGGATGCCCTGCTGCTCTGTTGCTGTTGGGTGCAGGGCAATGCTGCTAGCACGCACACGCTTCACGAATCACAGTTTACTGCACGACGCATCGCACAAAATTTTCGTTGTTGCCCTGAGATGGGGAAGGGGGAAGGGGTACAGTATCCTCTGTATTTCGGTTTCCGCAGTGTTTTTCACGGACACGCATCATTCCCCAGCACACCACGTGAAGGAACCACTACTTTTCCAGCCTGTACAGGCATCTTGTAACTGTGAAGACGTGCAGGAGCTAGAAAGCAACCCTTGACTCTTCTACCCCTTCCCTCTCTCCACTTAGCATTTCACGGCGTAGAATCAACTCGCTTCAGAGCGTGGATACTACATTTCGCCCCACCAAACTCACTAGAGCCGCACCACCCTTCTCTATCCAAACGACTCTCTTCAAACACTTGCACATAGGGTTCCCAGGCATGACCTGCAACAGCACGTGCCGTTGAGTTCACCCAACCTTTTACTGTACCACTCGCCAGTGGGCCATGTGAGCTCGCTGTCCAAGACTGCACAGCTTTCAGCTGGAGCTCGGAAGTGCGTGCAGACTTCATGGTTCGAATTTGTTGAGGTATTTTGTGCGGTTCGAGAACTGAATTCAGGTGTGAATAGACCTCCCCCCCTCCACCAACCCAATGACCGTCAGAAACGGCGAAATCGAGTGTTCCATTGGGTGGCTTCATGCTCCGTCAAAAGCACATCGATAGTGCGAATGGTGATAAACAGCAATATAATAATTGAAACTCTTCCACAAGTCACTTTCACATGCAATCCATGGTAGATACAGCTATCCAAAGTCATGCATGCCAATTGTATTCATAGTCACTTTGCTAAAATATACAATTTATTTCTATCCGTATCTTTAATTATACCGTTAAAACTGAAGTGAAAAGTGGGTCCGCACCGCATCTTGAGAAGCATAAGGGAAGCAATATACAACCAAACGCACAAGAGGAAATAGAAAACACGTAAAACTAGATGAGTTGCTGGAATAATAGTAATGTCAAACATATGTGTGTATGTTTAGTAGACTACATAGGGTCACGCCATAGAGAGTACAATCCAATAGCTTTATACCTCTGTATTATCTATTTCTAGTCAACACTTTTAACTCTGAGATGGTATCATGAGCAGGTGAGGTCACCCCCCGCCCACCCGCGCTTCCGCCTTAGGTCCTAGCCGCCTAGTCGTCTAGCCGCCCTGCTGGCCCCGCGGCCCCGTTCCCTAGCGCCTAGCCGGCCGTGGCCCCGTCGCCCCGCCACCTAGCGCCTAGCCGCCCCGCTAGCCCCGCGGCCCTGTTCCCTAGTGCCTAGCCTCCCCATGGCCTTGTCGTCTCGTCGCTTGGCGCCTCACGGCCCCCTGGCCCTGCCGCCCCATCGCCTAGCGCCTAGCCGGCCGCGCCCCTGTCGCCCAGCCGCTCCCCCGCCCCGCCGCTCCGTCGCCCAGCCGCCCCACGGCCTCATCGCGCCGCTGCTCCGCGGCCCCGTCGCCCAGCCGCCCCGCGGCCTCGTCGCCTCGCTACTCCGCGACCTCATCGCCCAGCTGCTCCGCGGCCCCGTCGTCCCCCCCCCCCCCCTCCCCCTCCCCCCCCCCCCCCTCTCGCCTTCGCCGTGTTTCCCGGTCCCCGCTCGCTAACGGCCCTCTCCACCGTCCTGCACCGCGCCCCACCGTGCTGCACCGCTCAGCACTGCGCGGCACCGCACAGCACCGCGCCCCACCGAACCGCACCGCTCTGCACCGCGCGACACCGCTCTGCACCACACGGCACCTCACTGCACCGCGCCCCACCGCACTGCACCGCACCCCCCTGCCTTGCTACTGCCCGCGACCACTTTCTAAGTCTGCACCCCGCTGACCTCACACTCCCTGAATTTGTCGACACCCTGTCTGCCATAGAGACCCGTCAGCGCTCTATCGCGAAGTCTAGCGGTATTGCGCCGATCCCTATCCTTCATGGTTGTGCTCCCGCTCAGTGCACTTACTCTGACGGTTTTGCGGCTATCGTTGGGACAGCCCCTGCTGCTGAGACCGCTGCCGCGGTGGCCGCAGCGCAGTCTCGTCATGGTAAGGCCCGCCGGCCCAAGGCTGGGTGCGGCGGTGGTAGTGGAGGTGGGGGTGGAGGTGGTGGTGGAGGTGGTTCATCCGCTGGCAGTAGTACCGGCGAGGGGGCCATGGCTGGTGCCTCGGAGCAGCAGCCCCAGCGGGAGCAGCATCAGGCACCACAGCTTGACCAGCAACAGCAGCGTCTCGATGTTTCTTTCGGGACCACACTACTCTTACGCCTCTTGCCGTCCCTGCCGCGGTTGCCCTTGCAGACCCTTCCTAAGGTCCGGTAGTCACCCGTAGTTCCACCACCCTCCCTTGTCCGACGGTTCCTTCGGGCTCTCTTACAGGCCTGCACATCCCCTCGTTCTCTCAGAACCTAGTTGGTGTCGGCTGCCTTCAGGACCTCAATGTCACCACTACGTTCCCTGGTCACGAGAAGTACGCTGTCTGTACCGAGGCCGCCACTGGTACCTCCCCTCACCACGTTCCCCCGGGACCCAGTGTCTGGCCAGTTCACGCTGGACACCGTGTTCCCCCCAGTTAGGACGCCCCCCCAGGTGGCAGCGTCTACCCAGGTTGCTGCGGCTTGCTCGTGTTGGTCCCTCACTCACCCGTCGCTGCTGTGGCACCACTGCCTAGTTCACCATGCACTCCCGCGTCTGCGTTACATGTCCCAGCACGGTCACGTCCCCGGCCCGTTTCCCACCTCGTTCCTGTCTTATTACTCCTCCTTTGTCTTCTGTCCCGACGCCTCCGTCTCACGTCTGGTCTCGCCGTCCCTCTCGGGCTTGTCCCGTCTCTCCTGTTCCGCGTTCTCACCCTATGTTGCTCCGTTCCCACGCATCTCGTCCTCCCCTCCTCCCGTCTCCTCCTTCGTCGTCGATCTCTATCGCACCTCCCCCTCTGTTTGACTACCTTCGTGCTGCTCGTCCTCTTGTTTCTCGGGTCCTTGCCTCCCTCGTTACTGACCCGTCTGTTCCTGTCTCGAGTCTTGACGCTCTTGTCGATGCTTCAATGACTTCGCCTCTACCTGCCGCCTTGAGTACGCCATAGCTCTCGTTTCTGGTCCTGCCTGCCCTCTGTCCGTCAGGGGTGCTCCTGCCCTTGGAAGTGACATCCTAGAGGACAGGCAGTACGAGCTTGCTTTCCTGTCTGAGGCTGCTCCCCATCCCTGTTCCATGCTGCTAGTCCCTGAGGGTGACCCATACGCCTTTGCTATCTTGACCCCTCGCACTTACACTGAGGCGACCTCAGGACCCTGGGCCTCTCAGTAGATAGCTGCCATGGAGTAGGAGATGGCATCTTGGAGATCCACCGGCACCTACATCGACGCAGTTCCCCCGCCTGGGGTGAACGTAGTCGATGGTCGGTGGCTCTTTAAGGTGAAGCGCCCTCCTGGAAAGCCGCCTCTATTCAAGGCGAGCTACGTGGCAAGAGGCTTCAATCAGAGAGAGGGGGTGGACTTCTTTCAGACCTTCGCCCCGACCCCGAAGATGACTACTCTTCGGGCGCTACTACACGTAGCAGCACAGCGTGACTACAAGCTCCACTCCCTTGACTTCTCCACAACATTTCTTCAAGGCAGTCTACACGAGCAGGTCTACCTGCGTCGTCCGCAGGGCTTCACCGGTACCTTCCCCCCTGGGACCCAGTGGCTCATCCGGCACCCGGTCTACTACCTTCGTCAGGCACCTTGTAAGTGGCACGACACGCTGCGTGCTACTCTAGCTGACCTACAGTTATTTCAGTTTGCTGTAGACCCCTCGCTCTTCGTTCGTGCTGACCAGACTCATCCTTGTTTACGTAGACGACCTGGTCTTCGCTACTGCAGGCAGAGACGCGCTAGCCTCCGTGAAGGCCGAGCTACTGAAGCGACACATCTGCACTGACCTAGGAGAACTGCGCCGCTACCTTGGCCTGCAGATCTCCTGCCACAGATCAGCGCCCACCATCACTCTCACACAGTCACACTTGGTGCGCTAGGTCCTTCAGAGGTTCGGTTTGCAGTTCTCCTCCGCACAGCCCACACCTCTATCAGTAGACCACAGGCTCTCAGCTCCAGTTCGTGAGGAGTCAGTAGAGCCTAGTGGTCCTTACGCAGAGACTATATAGGGTTGTGCCTTAGAGAGTACAACCCACTAGGTTATATTCCCTTGTACTCACCCATTCTAGTTATTCTATCATTCAAACACCTCTCACAGAAGGCGCTGCAAGCACGCGAAGTTTCTCCCACCACCCCATTTGCGAGCTTCCCCCCCTTCCCTCCTTTTCGATCCCCCCCCCCCCCCCCCTTCCATTTCGCTTCCCTCCTCCCCTCCGTTTCGATCCCCCCTTCCCCTCCGTTTTGCTTTCCCCCTCCCCTCGGCTTTGATTCCCTCCCGTTTTCCCCCTCGAATTCGATTCCATCGTTTTCGATTTCCTCCCCCTCAATTAAGCCATGGGCGGCCGTCTGATTTTTGAGCTAGTATTGTCACTTCGCCTGGGAAATCTGAAAAATAAAACCCGCCCGCCAGAAGTTCCGTATTCCCCCGTATAACGCACCCTAGGGTGGTAACCAAAATGCCTCTAAATTTTGAGAAGGGTGTAATTAGAGGCTAATTTTGTATAACGCCTAGGTGTTGTGGAACATGCGTTTGTGATATTGTTTTTCCTATTCAAAGTCTACAGTCGTACTCAGGGCTCTTGCTAGGATTTGGAGACGTCTGACATTCAGACCGGATTTTTGTGCGCTGTCTGACCATCAAACGGGAGAATTGGTGGAGTCTGAAGTTTCAGACGAATACATAA